AAAACATAAATAAATACACGTCACATCTTTGGAGTCTTTGGTTAAGTTTTTCTCCCATAAAGCTTAAAAATGGAGTAAGAAATCAGAATTTTACCAGTAGCCCCATCTAGAGTTTGGAGCAAATAGCATAAAAAATGTCAGTTGTCGGTTTTGACCTTGGTCATTCACGTGGAACCTCTATCCCAGCCAGGCAGGGGACCTATTTTCAAACCGTGTGAGTACTCATTTCTCTCAAGATTCTCATCAGAATTGTCATACGTCAATGTGGAAACGCTGTTTTTAAAGGCCTCGAGGATTAAAATTCTTATGAGGATATTAATTATCTCTAAATAAACCATGAGAAACAATCAGTGAGTTTACACTGGCCCTTAGGACCCTAAAAATACTGTTTTACGTTGACGTATGACATTTCTCTCGAGAGAAATGAATTCTCTCGAGTTTGAAAATAGCCCCCCCAGGGGGTCCTAAGGGCCAGTGTGAACTCACTGATTGTTTCTCACGGTTTATTTAGAGATAATTAATATCCTCATAAGAATTTTAATCCTCGAAGCCTTTAAAAACAGCGTTTCCACATTGACGTATGACATTTCTGATGAGAATCTTGAGAGAAATGAGTACTCACACGGTTTGAAAATAGGTCCCCTGGTGACGTGCAAACCCGTCGATTTCGGGTGAATTAAGGTGATTTCTGGTCGAAGTCACTTGATCACCAAAATTCGACGTCGAATTAGGTATAAAATTTCCCCAAAATGTGACGTGCTTTCAAAAATGATGATGAACAATATGTATGTTAAATTTGTAATTAAACTAAACTGTATTTAAGGTGATTTAAACTTTAGTTTTATAAATAAAACAACATTAAATGTAAAATTGTTCAGAGTGGTCACTAATTCGACGTCAAATGACGTGCTTTACTCACCATATTGTTACGTATGTGCAGTATTTGTATAAATTTTCCATTTTCTAAATATTATAATTCAATTTCACTTTTTATCAAAAATACTAACAATTAATTGCTCACAATTTTTATCTAAAAGTACCAAGGCCCTAACGAACGAAGAAAAAGAGAAGAGATTAACGAAAAAGAAGAACTTAACCTAAAAATATTCTGATCGTCGAACATCTCATGAAACGTGTTTTGGTGATTTCATGCTTTCGATTTATGATATATATATATATATATATATATATATATATATATATATATATATATATATATATTGTAATGATATCACACATACACCAATTTATTTTTAATTTAATTAAATTATTTTTTTTTTATTTTTTTTTTTATTTTTTTTTATTTTTTTTTTTTTATTATTATTTTTTTGATCTCAGGGGTGCTTCAAATTATATTATTATTACTTTTTCAATTTAATTTAATTTTATTTTAATTTTATTTAATTTTATTTAATTTTATTTAATTTTATTTAATTTTATTTAATTTTATTTCAATTGTATTTTTTTAAATTCTATTTTAATGTTATTATAATTTTATTTTAATCAATAATCAACAAAAAATTTTAAAAAAATATATAACTTAACTTGTTTTATACCCTGTATATCCAACTAAATAAAATAATCAAATTTTCAAAACCACAATACAAAATTTATTTTAGACAATATTAAATTTCCAATTAACAAAATTTCCCGTTATTTGTACTTAGGGGGAATATAACATAATATATAAACTAAAAATTACTCTAAATCCATTCACTCTTCATTCATCCTCACTAAACTATATACTAAATTAAATTCTACAAAAAAAATAACAACAACCAATGTCTATTTTCACATAACTAATCATTTCTTGATTTAATAGTACATAGTTTGTAAAAATTTACTCACTGTTCATCTTCAGTAACTTGTCTATCTCTATTCTATTATCTTCAGTTTATGTCCTCTATTGGGTTTCTTCTATACATTATCTCTCCAGGAACAACTAAGAATATCTTCAGTAACCATTTTGTATTTTACTACTTTAAACTATATTTGTGTTTGGTTAGATAAACTTGTTTATGCAATATGTCTTATATTATCAGATTTACAATTCCTTTTCCATATTTATTTTAAAAAATTACTTCTATAAAAAAATTTTGACATCCCCTCTCAAAATTGACATTCAACAACCCCACTTAGAAACCATCCTTTCTACATCCCAAAGTCTTCACTTCAGACTTTCTTATATAAATTTTTAAATATACAGGGTTGTAACATTATTTTTATTATTATTATTATTATTATTATTATTAATATGGTTATTATTATTAGATTTATTATATTTGTATATAGGGTGTTTTCATTACAACTTCCCAAATTTACATTTGAAATTTTTCATTTATGTAAAATTTCAAATGCAAATTTCCTTATACTTTTATTTTAAATTTATTAATTTTTTATTATTATTATTATTATTATTATTATTATTATTATTATTATTATTATTATTATTATTATTATTATTATTATTATTATTATTAATATCTTTTATTTTGTTCATTTATTCTGCAATTGTTATTCCACTATTAATAAATTCTTTAATTTATTACCTCTAATTTCACTAATCTGTTATTTTACTAAACCATTCTAAATATTTACTAATTATTAATTCATGTTTCGTAAGCTCATAGTCCTTTTCTTATCCTAGTCACCTATTCCTTTTTCATTGTCCTTTTGTTTTAACATCTCTGCTTCTCTTTAAATTTATTTCTCGTCTTTTCCTTTTCAGACAAAATTCTATTTTTAATTTTTCTTCTTAATCTTCCTATTTTTTCCCATATAATTTTAGCAATTTCTTTTTCTTTATTTTTATTTCTCCTTTGGTTATTATTATTTCTTGTTCCCATCTTATTTCCTTTTAATATTCTTTGTTCCATTTCTTTTACATTCTGTTCCATTTTAGTATCGATTTTTGTAATAGTATTCATCCATTTATTTTCTAAACTAATCATCCTTTCTACATCATCCTGTCTATTTAATTCTATTTTATTTATTTCTTCTCTTATTTCTCCTTTAAATTCTGTTTCTTTTCTTTCAAATACTTCAAATCTTTTCTCTTGCAAATTTTCAACCTCTGTTATTTTTACGTCCTTTTTAATATCTTCTATATCTATTTGTTCTATTTTCTTCTTTGTTTCTTTTTTTTCTTTTACATCAATCTTGAATTCTTCTAATTTCATAACTATTTCTTTTTTTACTTGTTTTAATTCTTTCATATCTTCTTTTATATCGTCTATCTTTTGAAAATTTTCCTCCATTTTATTCATCTTTCCCATCATCACTCTGATCATTTCCGATACACTCATCTCTTCAATCTTACTACTTTCTTTTTCTATTGTATTTCTTGGTATCCTTTCTTCTTCGTCTTTCTGTTTCTCTTTATTTTTCCCTTCATTGCTTTCATCACTTCTTCTTTCAAGCATTGTTGCTGCCAAATTCTGTTTATCCATTTGTGAATTATCTCTCTGTCCAACATCTGGTCCAATTTCATCTGTTTGTCCAACCTTTTTTTCTCCTCTCAATTCCATCTTTTCCATGATAATCAGGTTTTATTTTATGTTTTATATTTATTCACAGATTTTTTTTTTTTTATATTTTAATATTTTTGATTTACAAATTTAATAACTATATTACTGTATCACTATCAAATATGACTTATATCATACGTTGTCAATCTGACAATTTTTAACCTACACTTGTCAGTTTGACAGCTTTATCGCCCCACGTTGGGCGCCATTTGTAATGATATTACACAATACCAATTTATTTTTTAATTTAATTAAAATGTAATTTTTTTTTTTATTTTTTTTTTTATTTTTTTTATTTTTTTTTTTTTATTATTATTTTTTTGATCTCAGGGGTGCTTCAAATTATATTATTATTACTTTTTTAATTTAATTTAATTTTATTTTAATTTTATTTTAATTTTATTTAATTTTATTTAATTTTATTTAATTTTATTTAATTTTATTTCAATTGTATTTTTTTAAATTCTATTTTAATGTTATTATAATTTTATTTTAATCAATAATCAACAAAAAATTTTAAAAAAATATATAACTTAACTTGTTTTATACCCTGTATATCCAACTAAATAAAATAATCAAATTTTCAAAACCACAATACAAAATTTATTTTAGACAATATTAAATTTCCAATTAACAAAATTCCCCGTTATTTGTACTTAGGGGGAATATAACATAATATATAAACTAAAAATTACTCTAAATCCATTCACTCTTCATTCATCCTCACTAAACTATATACTAAATTAAATTCTACAAAAAAAATAACAACAACCAATGTCTATTTTCACATAACTAATCATTTCTTGATTTAATAGTACATAGTTTGTAAAAATTTACTCACTGTTCATCTTCAGTAACTTGTCTATCTCTATTCTATTATCTTCAGTTTATGTCCTCTATTGGGTTTCTTCTATACATTATCTCTCCAGGAACAACTAAGAATATCTTCAGTAACCATTTTGTATTTTACTACTTTAAACTATATTTGTGTTTGGTTAGATAAACTTGTTTATGCAATATGTCTTATATTATCAGATTTACAATTCCTTTTCCATATTTATTTTAAAAAATTACTTCTATAAAAAAATTTTGACATCCCCTCTCAAAATTGACATTCAACAACCCCACTTAGAAACCATCCTTTCTACATCCCAAAGTCTTCACTTCAGACTTTCTTATATAAATTTTTAAATATACAGGGTTGTAACATTATTTTTATTATTATTATTATTATTATTATTAATATGGTTATTATTATTAGATTTATTATATTTGTATATAGGGTGTTTTCATTACAACATATATATATATATATATATATATATATATATATATATATATATATATATATATATATATATATATATATATATATATATATATATATATATATATGTGAGTGGTTTCTATAATATTATGTACTAGATACTAGACGGTTGTTTCAACAGGTTGTCTGTATTTATTCGTTTTCAGATAGTGATAATAGCGAGTGTGAAAAACAAGGCGGAAGTCGACACAGTCGACAGTGTTATCAATCTTTTTAAGTGTTAAGCCGAGGCACGAGTGTAAAAGATGTTTCTAGGCGTTGAATTCAGAGAACCTGATGGTGGAGGGCTATCTTTAGTCCACGAGAAGTGGTTGACCCCAAGAAAATCGAGCGTGTGGTGGCCGCCTTATAAAAATCAAGATAAATTTGAAAAGAGCTTAAGGCGTGGAGAGTCTCCAAATGAAAACTGGACGCTGTATTCCATTTCTAAGACTTATTTTCATGAAAGTAAGTCATGCAATGCATTTGATGGCTAATAACAAATTTAAATACTAACATCCTTATATAATATATACAACTTCAACTTAAAGCTACTAACATTTACCAATACAGTGGAACTTCATTAACCCGGATCAATTATTGAGACGGGAGCCGAACCGAGTTGCAAGGACTTTAAGGTAAAACTACTGAAATAAGTCATTAGTTACAGAAAAATTACTTTATATTAGAGCTTTTTCAGACATTTTTATAATAATTATAGATTTAGTGTAAAGTTTATAATCAATGCGAACTGTAACAATAATGCATTACAGGCATAAAACGTAAAAAAGAAAAAATAATTCCATGAAAATTGATCCTAGCTATCTGGGTTCAGGCGATCCGACTTAACACTAGGTTCCTCTGTACATTAGTAAAATGTTAGCAGCCTGTTTCCCTTTTAATTTGACTAGGTATTAATAAGGCTGTTACTATTTAGTAGAAAAACCTCGTATCCAGTTTTTATCAAGAACTCATCATTAACTAATTCTGGAAAATATTTTGAATTTTACAATTTTTGTAGACAACTGTGACAAAGCAAAGAAAAAATTAAAAAAGGCTGAAATAACCTCTGAAATAACATCAAACGAGGACTCTGATGCTGATCATTTACCAGTAAAAAGAATTCGACTCCCTAATAAAAGACTATTTTCAATAAGTTCCGATGATGATGATGACGAGCCTAGTCATTCAGTTCCATCTAAAATTTTGGGCCTACCAAAATATTTAAGTACACCTAAAATTTTACCTAGTATAAATAGTAAGTAATAATAATTTATACTTCCTCTGTACTAAACTTTAAAATTATTTAAAACAGCTTTCCTAGTTTTAAAAAAATGTTGTGCCTGTGAATTATTTGATATATGTATTTGTGTTTTTAAATGAATCTTAGTATCTATATTAAACATTCTTTCATTCATAGCTTCATTAAAGAAGAACCATAGTAAGTCAAACATATCTAGCCAGCCAAAGCAAGTTGATACAAGTGATGAAGAGATACGTTTAGAACATAGACAGGGAGATAGACAGCATGTAGTACATTCATCTCAAACAGCTGCACATTCTTCATGGAATAATATTGAGAAATCTAACCAGAGTAAAAGATCAGATTTTCTGGGGTCAAATGAAAATTCAGGTCAGTATTAATCAATAATTATTATAAGTGTAGTATGCACATTTTTTATATACTTGGATCAAAAAAATATTTATTTTTAGATTTCAAAACATTCCTACATCACATTATATATGTGAGAAAGCAAAATGAGCAAATCCTACAAATTCTAAAAAATCAGAATGTGTCTCAAAGTAACATACTACCTAAAATACCAGTGGAACTACCTCTAACAGAGATCCGTGGAATTATAGCATTAGAAGAATTTCTTTCGGAAAATGAAAATTTAAGATCCATGGTAAGTTTTAGTTATAATAAAAAATGTACATAATTTTTTAGCACAAAAATATGTGATTTCATTTTACAAAGTGACATTTAAAAACATTCTTGTACCTTTTGTGATTTTTACTTTTCATTGACAATTTCATCAACTTAGACTTTATTTATTATTGATACCCACCCTATTACTGTTTTCAAATCGTGATATGATATTGCGTTAAAATTAATTTATATAAGTACACTGCTAATTTGTATTTTTTTATTTTAGACCAACTATTACTCTACTTACGGAGGAAGAGATGTTGTAACAAAAACAAACAATTTGTTAAAATTATTTTTATGCAATAGCCTTGCAGTGAATTACAGTTTTAAAGGTAGCCGCTATCAAAAGAGAGCTTTTGAAAATTTACTTCTGAGGAAATTGATTATTGGTACGTACCTACTTTTTGTATACTTGTTAACTTTTTGTTAAATTGCAAAGGAAGCCTTTAACAACATGTACCTATCATTGAGTGCTTCATTTTAAAAACTAATATGAATAATAAGTTGTTTCATTTAAATCTGCAGTAAAAATAGCCCACCTTAACAAAATATCATGATTTTTTATGTATGTGTTTTTACTTCAGGTGCAGTTTTAAAGAGTAGTCCTACAGCGACAGAAGTTGATATAGATGCCGCAATAAAAGTATGGTTGAAGCATGCACAGAAACGCCTGACTGCTGCTGAAAAAAGACAGGCGGCAAGACAGAACTACACAGTTTAAATGTACGTGTAAACCTTTTGTAGCTTTTAAGATAGTTTTAAGTTTGTATTCAATATTTATTTTGTAAGAAAGTTGCTCCATACTATCACCATTGTTTAATATGCCTCGAAATAAGTTCAAATTCAAAACTTTTGTTTCGCAACGTCATTTGTATAGAAAGGTAGCTTCTGAGTGTATGCAGATTTGCACTAATATGAGACTGGATCCAAATATTAACTTGGAAAGTGATGCACCATTTTCACAAAAATTGGATAAAGCTTTAAATACTAATGAGGAATTTGAAGATGATGATACCAATATTTCAGATAATACTGAAGACTTGAACGCTGAGAGTGACTCTGAGACAATAGACCATTTAAGTGAACCTGACAATATTGGACGAGATTGTGATTTTACAGACAATACTGTAAGCAAACTGAACATTGAGGTTAATAATGAAAATCTTGCTGCACAGTTAAGATATTGGGCAACATCTTGCCATGTTCCACATTCTACATTAACAAAACTGTTACATATTATTAAACCATATCATCCAGAACTTCCACTTTATAGTAGAACACTACTCCATACACCTTTACAATTTAATGAAAAACAGCTTGATCAAGGTGCATATGTTCATTTAGGTTTGCAACGAGGTTTGAAGCACTTTTTGAAAGTTCATGAAAATAAGTTAAATTTTCACCAAAACAAGAAGAGAAAATTAGTTGTAAGTTTTAATATAGATGGCTTACCCCTATATCATAGTACAAATAGCAGTTTTTGGCCAATTTTGGGATTGGTTAAAAATATTGTGGATGTTAAGTATGTTTTTGCCATAGGTATATTTTATGGTACTTCAAAGCCCACCCCAATCAGTTCATTTCTAGCTGATTTCATTGAAGAATGCAATAATTTAATAGATGATGGTTTTTTTGTTAATGGTAAAAAGTATTTTTTGCATATTCATAGTTTTATTGCAGATTCGCCTGCGAAGGCTTTTTTAAAGAGTATAAAAGGTCATAATGGGTACTCATGTTGTGATAAATGTCATGAGTATGGAATATATAAAAATGGTAGAATGATTTTAAATCAATTAACTGCTTTAAAGAGAACAAACATTTCATTTAGACAACAAAGTGATGAAGAACACCACGTTGGAATTAGTCCATTAGTAGAATTAAATATACATATGATTAAAGACTTTCCAATAGACTATATGCATAACATTTGCCTGGGTGTGATGAAAAAGTTATTAAAATACTGGGTAGGTGGCAACTTAAATGTAAGGCTTCCCAGTGCAGCAACAAATGCAATTTCAAATAAATTAAAGATTTTTAAAAATTTTGCTCCTTCAGAGATAAATCGTAAACCCAGACCTTTGAGTGAACTTTCACATTTTAAAGCCACTGAATTTAGAACATTTTTATTATATACGGGAATAGTAGCCCTAAAAGATAATATTGATCTAGGCCTTTATAACAATTTTTTACTATTTCATATGGCAATAATATTACTCATTACTAATGATAATTCCTCCTCGACTAACAGTGATGTGGCAGCGAAACTTCTAATTAAATTCATAAAACATGGTGAGCAGTTATATGGAAAACATTTTGTTATCTACAATGTACATATACTTAGTCATCTCCCTAAAGATAGTCTTAGATATGGAGGACTTGATGAATTTTCAGCGTTTCCTTTTGAGAACTATTTGGGACAACTAAAAACAATGCTTAAATCTTCTACAAAACCACTACAGCAGATTTGTCGTAGATTATATGAACAGGAAAGTGGACTTTTAAATATTAGTTCAAGTTCAGGAAAAAATAATAAGTATGTCTTGTGTGATGGTACAGTCCCTGAGACTCATCCTTACAAGGAATGTAAAAAAATTTATTTGGATGGTTATGTACTTAGTAGTTACTCATATTCAAATTCTGATTGTTTCTGCTTTGCCCAAAATAAAATAATTAAGATAAAGTGCCTTCTGTTAGAGACTTGTTCTGAAGAAATAACGATTTATGGACAATATTTTCAAGACATTTCATCTTTTTATGAATATCCTTTTCACTCTAGCCATTTAAACATTTTTCTTATTTCATGCCTTTCTTTAGAGGAGATGCAATTTTCCGTATCTAGCATACAGGGAAAATTTTTCATCTTGCCATATAAAGATAAGTTTGTTGCAATTCCCCTTTTGCACTCTCTTACAAAATAATTATTTCTTAGAATATAATAATATGTTTCAAAATACTTGCACATTGTATAAGTAATGGAGTAAAGATTTTTATTTTACCTACCTGTGTATTATTTTGTAAGAATAAGAAATTCCATAAAACACGTCATAATAGAACGTGAAATGACGTTCCATAATCACGTCATTTCTCTGTGACATATTAACGTGTTATTCACGTGATTTTCACGTCGAATTTTTGGTGATTTCGACGTACTTGGTGACGTTATTATGACGTGTAAATCACGTTACCTGCCTGCTTGGGATGTGCTTTGTGGTGTTACCCATTGTAAACGAAAATATGATTACCGAGATGATTACTGCATTTTTTAACAATACTCAGTTTACAAAAGTCAGAAAGGTAAGACTTTGTTTTAATAGTAGGTAGTTACAGTTTATATGGAACAATACACCTTATTTTTTTCTTTTTCTTTTTTTTCGATTTATGGCCTAGGTGTATATACCTAATATGCCAGTCTCAAATTTGTGTTTAAATTCTCAATCATGTGTGTTCTGTGTAGGCTTTGTTACTGTTTCCCAGCGCCACTTTAGGAACAGCACTGTTAATTAGAACCCAACAGTGAATGGTCGAGTGGGGAATCCTACCAAGGCATCAGAATTAATTTTAAATAATTAAATTAAATGAAAAAATTCCGGCCAACGGTGGGATTCGAACCTGGGACCCTTGGATCCACAGGCACAGGCTCTAACCACTGAGCCACCCACCCCCCTAATACACCTTATAGTAAAACATATTTATCTCAGGTTTTATTTTTAGATATGCCAAGCAAGAATATGGGGATAATTTCTTTTTCCATAAGAGAGGAGACAAATTACACCTAAACATAAAGTACGACAAAAACCTTCTGATGTGGTTGTTGTAATTAACAAAAATGAAATTTTTAGTGCAAAATGCTTAGGATATGCTGCATGTCAAGGTTTGTAATATTTATTATGCTTTTTTGTTTTTATATTACATATAATAAACAGTGTATAAGGCCCTTTATTCCTATAAATATTTTTTTTATAGACATTTTTTGTAATCGCAGCAAGTGTTAAAATAATCTAGAAATAGATTTTGTTAGTGAACCTAGTAATAATTATGATACCAAAGAATGCTGCAGAGCACCTATGAAATTTTGAGTTAAAAAATATGCTATATTTTTAGGCTATTTTTATACCCTTTTCAAAAATTTTATGCTCGTTTTTTGCAAAACTTAAAATGCTCTATAGCTTCGAACGAAGTCAGCAAAGCACCTCTGTTTTATAAAGTTTTTTCTGTAAAAACAGCAACACCATATATTTATGCACTTGAAATATTATATTTTTAATACATGGTGCTTCTTGCTAACCTTCGAAAGAAGCCAGCAGAGCAATTCGGTTTTTTAAAGCTTTTTTCTAAAAACCACACCCCATTTTTAGAATATTTTTAGACTCTTGAAATATTGTAAAACTTTACTAAAAAAATTGCTATTTTTAAATAATACAGGGTGCTTTGTTGGAACAAAGTCAGCAGGACACTTCAGTTTTTTAATATGTTTTTTTTTTATATAAAAACAACTACTTATGATGACACATGTTTAGGCTGTTTTGAAATCCTAAAAATGTGGTAAGTACATTTGTTTTCAGAAAAAAACTTTGAAGTCAGCAAGGAATTGCGAATTTTTTTTAAAATGTCAAATTTCGAATATTTTATAATATTGTAGGAGCCAAAAAACGTGGTGTGGTTTAAAAAAAAACTGGGGTGATCTGCTGGATTCGTTTGAAGCTAACAAAGCATCCCGTAATTTTTTATTTTATAATAAATACTCAATAGCCTAAAATGAGACATAGCTGTTTAAACAAAAAATTGTATTTTTAAAAATAGCAGTTTTTTTCGAAAAGCTCTATATTTCAAAAATGTGAAAATGTGGTGAGATTGTTTTTTTTTAAGTTTTGAAAATCCGAGGTTCTTTACTGGATTCGTTCAGAGCTAGTAAAGCTCTGCTCGTCTTGTTACATAAAATAAGGCATTCTGTAGCTGGTTATATAGTTATTTTGTAACTGCATATCTAACCATTTTATTTTTTTCAGTTGTTTGTAAATATGTGGCTTCATAGAAGAAGGGAAGAACCATCTGTAACATCTTCTCAGTGTTATTGGAAAGGCTCTAATTTATCAAAATGCGTAAATATTGATGTACACTTGGCTAGATTGTTAAAGAAACCTCTTCATCCACTACAGGAAAATAAATCAGTACTTTTATATTCTTAGGATTTGTATATATATTTTTTATTTGTAAATAAATTGTTTTTTACTTCATTTTTCTCATTTTTTATTAAAAGGTTAATAAATAAAATTTTCAGATTTTTATATTTTTGTTTGTAAACAATAATTGAAGAGTTTTTATTAAAAATCACCAATGTTAATAATAATAACTTAAGTCAATATTATTCTTTCTCCTTTTTTAAAGCTACTAATAAAGGTATTACTTTAGCTTGACCTATGATCAATTTTTAATTTTGTGATATATTTGGTTCGACAGAAAAAAAATTATAACCCTTTGACATTGGTTGTTTTTACTTAGATTTTCATAAAAAATAAACGGAACTGCAAACATGTTTTACTATCGTAATAACGAATAGCAACATTAAATGTTTTTTTTTTCACATTTATCACTGTTGTCATTTTCATAAAGGATTGATAAGAAGGCACACTTTCTGGTTTTTTGAAAAAGGTGGCAAGAGTTGTGATATTTTTAAATTTATCACCAGTGATACCACATGTAGTTACCTGATTTATTGGAATATATAGACTTTGCTACCACATTCAACTGAACTTGGTTGTTTTTAATATTTATCACTGTGACATAGGCGTTTTTGTCAAAATGTTTCATTTTAAACTGCTGTAAATAGGTGCCTTTGTTTTGGTAGTTTTAGTCCCAAAAAAATCTGCATATACAGGTACTCATTCCTCTTTGATTTGCTCGAAGTGATAATTAGGTAAATTAAATTAAAAAACAAACAAAAAAAGTTTATTAAATTAATATTTACTCTTACAAAATAGGTTCTTGTAAGTTAACAAGCAATTATGCAGATATTACTAAGTAAATGTACTTGCTTAAAATTCACACATTGTTCTGGAACCATCCAAAACATTAGTATGTATTGTAAATAAACTCAACCAGATGTACAGTTATGTGTAATACTGGTTGCATAATGGTAGATTGGAAAATGCTTAACCACACCTACAATGGATCAGGTGCAATAGCCAATTAGGTATAATTATTTAAATATTGCGCGTAATCAGGTAAGAGGGGAACTTCCTTTTGTTGGTGAGAGCCGGAAGTTAGAATAAAAGGGTCAAATTAATAATTATTGCAATGTAATCGTTCTGGGTGAGTGGACGTCCATGTCCATGCCACTCATCTCTTCTAATTTAGTTCCGTTACCACAATTTACTGCCTCATCCTACTTTAAGTGTTAAAATTGTTGTTAATAATTGTGATATACGACCAAAAGGTACTTTATAGTGAAAATAAATACAGTTAAAAGTAAAGGTGAAATTTGATTTGACTAAAACGTCCTCCCCTGACGAGAGTGTTGGAGTTGATTGCCAAAATCAACAAGAAGGACCCAACACACATGAATGTGGTTTTAACATGTTAAATTAACTAACCCTTCTTATAACTCTTTCAACCATGTATTCTTAGAGATGCTATTCTTTTACTTAATTGTACATCTTCTGGAGAACTTTTTTCATTCTGTGATACACTAGGTGTGGCTTTACTAAAGTGCATCCCATGTTTTCAAGTAGCTGAATATTCTGAAACCCCTATCTGCCATTATATGGGATCCAGGAACCAGTTTGTTTAAATACCCACATTTTTCTATTATTTCTTTATCACTAGTTCTTCCACAAAATGTTGAATAAATTCGGAATCTTCAAAACTTTCAGGAAATTCTGCATTTTCTTCCAGAAGGGTTTTTAGGTTATACACCTAAGAATTTATAGTAGCCTCATCTGCTACATCTTGATAATCCGGTGTATTTTTATTAAAAAGTTCACGAGAAACATCGCTAGTAGAAGGTTGATTTTCTTCTTTCCAAATTTCTAGGAACACTAATAAATATTTTTGTAGTTGAATGTGAATCATTATCACATTCTGGAACAAAACACTTTTTCGTAGTCATATTTATAAAAAGTACAAAATTAAACACTCAAATTCCAAATAAATTCTTGATCGAGACACTATGATGACAGATGCCATACACAGTGCTGCCATTTTGCCATTTTCTGAATTAAGTGACTTTTAAAACAATGAAACTTTAAATATGGTAAAAGTTTAAACAGAAATACTACTTTCAAAAAACATTTGATATTATATATTTAAAAGATATTTGTTTAAAGGCCAAGTTCAATTTTGTTTGACATATCATCACGATTTTTTTTAGGTTAGAAAATTGCATTATCGATTTTTTTTCATTCGAAGTCACAGATTTGGATAGTGGAGTGGGGTAGAATGCTTGTCAATAGACTTGATGTGCGACTCTATGGGCAAAGATAGGTTACTTTTCATCTTACTCGGAAGTATTTAAAATAACCATTTTCTATTTCACATTGTTATTGTCTGATCCACCAGCTTGTGGATTGAACAATAACAATGTGAAACAGAAAATGGTTATCATAAATAGTGAGATGAACAATAAAAATGGCTGCGCCCATAGAGTCGCACCTAGTTCTAATAGTACAACATGTACATTGACATTTTACCCCCCCTCCAGTTCATTGGAATAGGAAAAGGCAATTTTCCCCGGTGTTTCAAAATAATCACACCATGTAGGCCGCCATGTTGGCAATTTAAGCGTACAACGCACATGCGCAGTTGTTGTAGTGTTTTGACAGAAGTGTCATTTATAGGTCTTTTCCTTTGCATCGAAAGTGTAGCACTGGGCTACACCAATTCTGAAAATATCGTTCTATATATACAAATTGTATGGATGGAA